TCTGTGCCCTCAGGGTCACCTGAATAGTGCAAATGGATGTGGACCCTTCTTGGAACTGCTGAAAGGACTGTGTTGTAAACAGGAGATAGGTGGTGTCGTATCCCTCCCCCTCTGATGAGAGAGGGCTGTTCAATCTTAATGTACTGTAGATGGCCTCTTTGACTTTTCTTTCAAACTAGCAGTCTTCTGTGTCAAAAATGTGGAATTTGCTATGATCTCTGGATGCAATTCAATGTAGTGGCTATTATTTTTAAAAACCCTTTTTTAAAACCCTGGCATATGGCTTGGTTACGTGAGAGACAGTCACTTTCTCGTCATTTCTACCTGCCCTATAAGATAGGACAAAGTGACACAATTCCACTAACCTATGTCATCTGATGGGATCTAGAAAGCTTTTGTCTTGCGGTGCTTGATCTTTGGAATAGCAAACCCTCCCCCCTTCAGTTGAAATTGGCCCAATCCTGCAAGCTTTTAAATGAACTCTGAAATCATCCCCCTCCCCCCCCGCAAGCTCTGGAATAAGTCCAACTGTATATATCTGGTGTGGTACCTATTTCAGTTAGTGAATATCATATTCCTCCATTATATTTACTGATTTTGTTTTGTTTTAGGCACTATGTTAATCTGTGTACTGTCCAGAGACGGTGTTGAGTGCAGACAATCTTACAAATATAAATTTTAAATAAGTAAACACTTAGATTTTGGGAAAAATCTATCAGTGTAGTGTATTTACTCAGGAAAATTAGATTTTTTTCATGCTTATTGATTTGCAGTGTTTTCAATAAATGTTTAAACTAAAACATATTCAGAGACTGAATTGATACCTGCCATTACATATAAAAGAAAATGTTTATAGCTGTAGATATTTTTGTTATTTATATGGGGTATTTGTATAGTTTTTAAACACTGGTTGTATCAAAGTACAAGAACGTTGTACCATATAATTTGGGGGCATGCTCAATACAAAATGCAGCATAAAAATTACCATTTCTTCATTATGAATGATTTCTACTGTACCTCCTTGGACCTGAGTATAAGCTTGAATTCCCACTGCATCTAATTTATTATTACTGCTGTAGATATTGTTTTGTGTTACACTACATAGAATATTTCTAGAAATATATTGCAAAAACCTACAGGGGAGGAAATGGCAAAATAAAACTGCTTTGGAAGTTATTACATTTTTATAATAGACCAGCACATTATTCCCATAGAAAAGCACTTTAAGAAAATGGTTTGGATATTTTCATCAAAAATATATATTTTTTTGCCAGCCCATTTTATTTAGACTTTGTGCTGGCAACTTGGAACAGATATTTCAAATAAATTACATATGATATTCTAGTACATGACTTCTAGTGTGCTTAATTTTTTTTCAATTAGCATCTCCTATCAATGAACTTGTGCCTTTCATCAGAAACACAGGAAATAGATGTTTTTCCTTCTATCTACTTTCAATTCTGAAAGCAGAAAAACAGCTTGCCTACCCAAATTAAAATTAGATAAATTCTTAGAATTGTAGCCCAACCCTTTGCTTGTATAATCAGAAACTGATTGCATTCAAGTTCAGGGATCTAATTCCGAATATGTATATCTGTAGTGAACTCCCTTACAACACTTTCTTCCCCACTGGGAAGATCTGAATAACTTTTAAAGATGCTTGGAGATAGGCTGGCAAGTCTAGAATTTTCAAGCTACTTATATAATATGGGTAATTGCCTATTCAGAATTAATTAAAAAAAAATCTGATTAAAAATGATATATGACATGGGTGAAGGACAGAGCATTTAAAAATACTGAAATACTGCTTTGGTTTGGCTGTATTTGCTAATGACAAAATTCCATCAATCTTCACATGAGAAATACACATCCATTACATATTTGTACTGCTAACAACTTTTAGGCTATGTGGTAATCCTTTATTGAGACTCACAACAGGTTATGCAGCATTCATGTGTCAAGATTATAGGCAGGTCATGAGCAGTAGCAAAATGCAATTGATGGCTTTCCTGCCTGAAATATGTGAGAAATCTTAATACTATTGTACCATTAAAAAATGTAGTAATATACTAATTTATTATGTTCTACTCACAATAATCTCTCTCAATGTTACACTTTATTCTGGGTTATTATCAATGGTCCTTTTGTCCTGCTTTGCAAGTTCAAGATGCTAATGCCATCTTCCATAAGATCAAAGCTCACTCATTTTTCAGTGCACAAATATTAGTCTAATCCTGTTAATTAGAATGGATATCATCTAATGAACAGGGATCTACATAATTATGTGCAAGTTAAATATAAAATTGAAAATCTTTATGAAATCTAGATTACAGGGAATTATGTAGAATTAAGTAATTTGGAATCTTTGCTTGCTGCTATAAAATGGCTTGCTATAGTCACTTGTAATGTTAAACCTGAGATAAATATTACAAATGTAAAAAGAATGCATTTTTCCTTCCACAGGAGGACCCAGACTGCCCCCTTGAGTATGCCAAACAGCATGGAATACTTCACATACTATGCAACTGGCATGCATTTTAGTTTGGAATCTGCTTGGGGATGAAATTCTTGGCTAAAGCTCTGGAAATTCTGATACTGCAATAGAGACAGGCTGCTTTAATCAGTGATGACATAAGAAATCACTTCCTTTTAACAATGCCATGCTCTTGGCTTTGTTACTTTCTAGTGATAATGTTAATTGTTACTTTCTAGTGATGATGTTAATTGTTTTGTGTTTCAAAATGTGCAGCAGCACACAGGGATATCAACAGGGAGTCTTTTAGAAACAAAATCATCATCATCATTTTTATCATATTTGTTCAGGGTACGTACTACATTCATTTGGAAATATGCCATAAAACAAAGTATATCATCAAATGGTGTACAATTAATACACTGAGTGTGCATACAGCACATAATTTAAATGAGATGCTTCTGTATTGGCTTAGAATTTTATTGCTGATTCATCTCGCATTAGTACTTTTGGCAAAAAGTGTAAAAGGCTTAACTGCATCTTCATGGTTGTATGCTTCAGACTGAAAACTGCTGAATCTTCTAACCTCAGTAAAGACAATTTTAGCAACTAGCATTGAGAAAACAGTGATATTTCAATCATTAAATCCCAAAGGTGCTTTTTTCAAAAGGCAACTGGACCTTCTTGTTTTTCTTTGAAGATGTTTCGCTTCTCATCCAAGAAACTTCCTCAGAGCTGATGTTTCGCTTCTCATCCAAGAAACTTCCTCAGAGCTGAAGAAGCTTCTTGGATGAGAAGCGAAACATCTTCAAAGAAAAACAAGAAAGTCCAGTTGCCTCTTGAAAAAAAGCACCTTTGGGACAACCGTGACCTGGATGACTGAGAATCTCCATAGACATTCAAGCATTAAGCTAAATTCATTTCAACTCAATTACTTAAAAGGCCTTGAGGTTAGGTGGCACATGAACTCAGTGGTTGACAACAGTTGATAGCATTCAACAGAATTAATGAGATTGTGCAAAATAAAGAATAACTGATGATATGGTCTGTACTGTAAAAAAAATGATGTCCAATAATCATGTATCCCTAAAACTTTCCTTTGTTGTGAGAGAATGAATTTTATGAATATAGCTACAAGTGATGTCCATGGATTAGTGTCTTGATCAGGGGAGACAATGTAACTGATAAGTCTTATCAATTAAACCTTCAAGAACTCAAGTAGGCATGGAAAACTTCAAGTAGGCATGGAAAATCTTTGGCCAATTCACAATTACCTTAGTTGTCCACACTTCGCTTTCTTATTAGGGATATTTACTTCCATCACTTTATTCTTGCTTTATGTTTCCTATCATTCAGATCATAGTTTCCAAGTCTTTCATTGCCATGCTTTCAATCCCCCATTTATGCTTTCTGTATAAAAGATGAGAGCAAGCTAAGATGCATCTCTAGTGTTATGCCTTCTATAAACCTAAGGCTCAAAATGGAGATCTGATACCAGGTCTGATAGATTGGGGAGTTGTCAGGCAATCAGACAATTGCGGCAGTTTAGAGTCAATGAACCAGAACAGGCGGGATCTAACTCAAATCATGGGGGTCCCGATCCTGAATCCTAGTCCAAGAATATATCAACAATTATGAAGGGAAGGGCCGAAGTAGTCAGTTTTCCTCAAGAGACAACTCCCTAATTATGTTATGCCAGGAACCAGAGCTATGTAAGAGCAACATCAAAACGTTTTCTCGTTGTTGGAAACAGCTTCCTATTTCAGGACTGGCACGCCATTGGCTTCTTGTTCTTGTCTCCTTGCCAGACAACTTGAACATCTGGTTATAATCCTGGACTCAATTCCTGGATTTCTCTGCCTTGGCCTGGCTGTTCTCACTGGCAATTTGCCCTGATTAAAAGGTAAGAACTCACCTTCTCTGTAAATGAGTCTTATTTACAACCTCTTAAAGTGCTATGTCTGCTCCGTAACTGTTGCATAAGCCCCACCCCCTCCGTTTAAACTGTTGAAAAATTACTACACAATTATTGCTTGGGTGAATATCAGGGATACTCTGACTTTGAGTACTGTAGACGATCAGGTTTAAATTTACATGTTCATGTATGTAACTTCAAGCACCTGAGAGGCTACATACCTTAGTGGGGTGACAGTGACCACTGCATGTGGACTTCTGTGCATTTGTCAAGAATAAAAAACAGGTTTCTCAATCTTGGAGAACTCAAGAATCATTTCACCATTTTTTCCTAGTCTGAAAATAGCTTTAAAGATGACTGGTTAAGCACCGTTTTTCATAATATGATGGCAATGACAAGTGAATAGTCACCATTTAGTATATACGAACAGATTATTATTATAGTTACTTTATAGAAGTAACTAGCTGATGTCACAATAAAAAGTGAAACGTTTTAATATTTACCTTGAGACGGGAAAACTAAATGTATATTCAAAGCAATTTTAAAAAGTTTGCTTTTCCTATGGCAGCATTGATCTTTTAAGAAAATAAAGTGTATGAATACAACCACTCATTCAATTGCCATGACTTTAATGCCATTTAGGTTCTGGAAATCATTTCAAAGAAAGATTGGATCCCTTGTGTTTAAAAAAAAAAGTATTTTTCAGTCCTACGTGAAATATGCTTTACTATTATGAAAACCTGAAAATTTATTTTACTTCTTCTTCAGCAGTTGAAAGATTTTCAGGTTCTGAGCTTTTAGTAGCCTCTGTAGGTGCTATATCATTAGAACCAGTGTAAAATTTTGAAAACCACATGTAATCATTCTTAGGTGCAGAATGTAGAGCAATGCATTTATCAATATGGCTTTTAGGAAAGCGACCTAGAATGGAATGTTTAATATCTGGATATTGGACAAATGAACTCTGATAAACAGAATGGTAGGCATTGCTGCTAGGAATTTGCTCATGGGCCAAAAAATAGTAGTTTTGCGAATAGTGTTGACACTTGTCTCGAAATTTTCTTACTCCTAGTCCCTAAAAGAAATGAGGAGAAGGCATTTATTATAGATAGCATGTTCTGCATTATGTTAGCAAACTATCAGGAAATGCTTTACTAAAAGATCTTGGCTAGCATGTTGATAATTAACTTACAAACTATTTCTGAAACTTATTCTCATCTGATACATAGCAAAAGTAAGCTTTTGCAACCTCACTGCAGTAGAAGTGTGGTCTTCATAGAAACATGCAGTATCTTGGCAAGACCAATCTCTTTTCGTCAAGCGCAAAAGAGATGTGTCATTTTTTCATTCATTACTGAATAGATTTTTAATATGTATATGTTTCTAACTGAAGTATGCAAAGCAGACTTGGTAAGTATTGCAGGCCATAAAGGACAACTTCTGGATGGATGGATCTTAGATGATCAAACCCTGCACATGTCAGCATTTTTGGGTAATACAGGTAGTTCTCGATTTACAACAGTTCATTTAGTGTCATAAGTCACTGAAAAAAGTGACTTATGACTATTTTTCACACTTATGACCTTTGCAGCATGTCCATGGTCACATGATTTACATTCAGATGCTTGACAACTGCCTCACATTTATGATGGTTGCACTATCCCGGAGTCATGTAATCCATTTTTGCAACCTTTTAACAAGCAAAGTCAATGGGGAAACTAGAATCACTTAACCAGGTTACTAATTTAGTAATTAGTGAATTCAGTGATTCACTTAATAATGTGGCAAGAAAAGTTGTAAAATGGGGCAAACTCACTTAACAAATTTCTTACTCAGCAACATAAATTTTGGACTCAATTGTGGTCATAAATTGAGAACTACCTGTATACATATGTCTCTAAATTTTCAAGAACTAAATAAAGATCCCCTAGTACACAGGTCTCAAACTTGATCACGTCACGTGACGTATTGTGACATTTTTTGCCTTTGCAGAGCCGGGGTAGGCGTGGCCTACGCATGATGCATCTGGCTTGTGGGCTGCCAGTTTGACAGGCCTGCTCTAATAAGTCTCAAATTTTGGGGAAATATGAATTGCCCTACTAAATAATAAATGCTATTAATATACCTAAATTTCTACAAAAGAAAATTGACAGCCTATAACGGTGATGGTGAACCTATGGCATGGGTGCCGGAAATGGCACACAGAGCCATCTCTCTAGGCACGTGAACTGTCGCCTGTTGCTCTTCCGGATTCTGGTGCGCTGGGCAGCTGGTCTTCACCTGCGTGGGAATGCCAGAAATTGGAAGAGCAGCCGCCTGCTGCCCATGCACGCGCCAGGAAGATTATCTTCCGGCTTCCGGTGCATGCATGTTTGTGCGTGCATGCACGCCAGAAAACCAGGTGGCAGGTGCACATGCGTGTGCCGAAAACCGGAAGATCATCTTCCTGGTATGCATGTGTGCACCAGGCTGCTGCTCTTCCCGTTTCCGGCATGCACGCATGCTCCTGTTTTGGTACTTGGTACTGAAAAGATTCGTCAACACTGGTCTATAACTTGATATATTATCAAATTAATTATGTGTCATAACTGACAAAGAAATTAAATAAGCTGTCATCAATTTTGCTATTCAGCTTAGAAGAAAGAAATTCTGTAATACAGAATGAATCTAAACATTTCCAAAATATATTACATCTTACAGAGAATTATTAAAAATTATTTTTAAGAAAATACCATTAAAACAGAATACTTACAGCATCTAAATACTCTCCCATAGTCAATAAACAACGTCTATTGTCATGGATTGAAAATGGAAATGTATTTACTGGTTTCTAAAAGAAAATGAAAAAAAGTCTTGTGCATTCATACAGCAGGATCATAGCTTTCATGTTCTACAGAAATTAAAATTACATGCACACAAATTCCTTGTGTGTCCAATCACACTTGGCCAATAAAGTATTCTACTCTATTCTGTTCTGTTCTGTTCTATAAATATGTGTGATACAAACCCACTGTTTCTATTAGTAAAGAATATATTCTCTATTAATAACAGAATTTAATTTCATCTAATTTTAAGCATGCACAGCTATTGAATTAAATCAATTTTATTTTTATGGGAACAAATTACTAGAATAATTTCAAGATATCTTTTAGAGAATTGCTACTGAGTCCACTGCTAATAAAAACTGAACTTCAAGAGAAACTCATAATCAATCTGAGATTTATGAGCTCAGTACAGAATACTGATACTATATATTAAATGGCAGAACATGTATTTAAAAGGATTAAGTCCCAAATCTAGAAAACATATGGATGCATGTTATATTTTATTATTTGCCGTCTCCTAGGTTTTGTTCTCCTCACTAAACAAAAGCAAAGAAAACTCTAGTATTCTTTGAAACAAAGTCAACACATTCCCTACTTTTCAACCCTAATAATGTCAATATTCTTAATTCAGAATCATAGAATTAAATAAGGATTAAATAGCTAAACAGTGTATTTACCTAAAATAAAGAATAATTTTTGGTGTTCAAATTATAACCAGAATATAGACCAGAAAAGGAAATTTATCTAAATTTACCTAAATCTTCTCAGAATTGTGTTAGGAACTAAAGGACAATGAACATTTAGAACCAATACATTTCTAATTTTTTGTTACTAATATTTTTCAGATCTTCTACATTCAAGTTATTATAGATGTATAAACATAGTACAGTTGGTAAGCCTCTATCTTCTATCCAAATAAACCATTGGCATTACTTGAAAGAAAAGTTCTGTAAAAGCTTGGCCGGTGGGATATGAGCGACTGTAAGTAATCTGACATTTTTTATCCTTATTAGATTAGATTAGATTAGAATTCTTTATTGGCCAAGTGTGATTGGACACAAGGAATTTGTCTTTGGTGCATATGCTCTCAGTGTACATAAAAAGAAAAGATACATCCGTTAAGAATCATAAGGTACAACACTTCATGATAGTCATAGGGTACAGATAAGCAATCAAATCATACTAGGAGACAATCACTATAAATCGTAAGGATACAAGCAACAAGTTACAGTCATAAGTGGGAGGAGATGGGTGATAGGAACGCTGAGAAGATTAATAGTAATAGTAATGCAGACTTAGTGAATAGCTTGACAGTGTTGAGGGAATTATTTGTTTAGCAGAGAGATGGCATTCAGGAAAAAATGTTCTTGTGTCTAGTTGTTCTGGTGTGCAGTGCTCTATAACGTTGTTTTGAAGGTAGGAGTTGAAACAATTTATGTCCAGGATGCAAGGGATCTGTAAATATTTTCCCAGCCCCTTTTGACTCGTGCAGTATACAGGTTCTCAATAGAAGGCAGGTTGGTAGTAACTGTTTTTTCTGCAGTTCTAATTATCCTCTGAAGTCTATGTCTGTCTTGTTGGGTTGCAAAACCAAACCAGACAGTTATAGAAGTGCAGATGACAGACAACTCTTTAAAGAATTGGTACCACTCAGCTAATTAATATGCTGAGCTAATTAATATACATACATATATATGTATATGTATATATATATAATACAATATATCTTTCTCTCTGTGTATATCTCCTATGTTTAGGACACTTACAATTGATTGAACAATTTACTGTGATATATCATTAAATTTTGATGTATAACATTCATAATTTTTATTTAATTCAATTTTAACTCTCAGAATGACCTTCAGACAGGTTAGTGGATCCAGTATCAAATTAAACATATAAAGGGCATTGTTCAATATACAATATTCTTTATTGCCTAAGTGTGATTGGACATACAAGGAATTTGTTTCCGGTGCATAAGCTCTCAGTGTCTATACCAACCACAAAGTAATATAAACATAAGTTACCAATAGTAGAAGGTAATAGGAAAGATGAGAAAGATAATATAAAACAGCCCTACTACATGGAGTCGAAACAGTTTATGTCTGGAATGCGAGAGATCTGTAGATATTTTCTCAGCCCTCTTTCTGGCTTGTGCAATATACAGGTCCTCAATGGAAAGCAGGCTGGTTGCAATTGTTTTTTCTGCAGTCCTAACTATCCGTTGAAGTCTGTCGGGTTGGGTTGTTGCACCGAACCATACAGTTAGAGAAATACAAATGACAGATTCAATAATTCCTCTGTAATCCAATTAATAAAAATGGAGATCCATATTTGACCAAAGCTTGTCCAAAAACCTTATCTTTATTATACCCAAGACGTTTTCTGCATCCAATAAAATTGTGGATTCCCTTTTTTCTGAATGTGTAACTAAAGTATCAATAAAATTATCTGAGCTTTGTCATACTTTTATAAAAAATCAGATGGCACAATAGACAACTAAAAATCATGTTTTCTGTAATCCGCATGCCAAGTTTACTGTACAAATTCTGGCAACAACTTGTATAAAGAGCCTTGGTAGTACAGTGGTTTAATGCACCCTGTAATTAACACAGCTGCCTGCAATTTCTGCAGGTTCGAATCTTACCAGGTTCAAGGTTGACTCAGCCTTCCATCCTTTCTAAGGTAGGTTAAATGAGGACCCAGTTTGTGGGGGCAATAAGCTGACTTTGTATAAATATACAAAAGTATGAAGGCTATTGCTTAACTCATTGTAAGCCGCCCTGAGTCTCCGGAGAAGGGCAGCATATAAATCAAATTAAAAAAAATAATAAAATAATAATAATAAAAAAAAAAAATTGGGAAAACTGTACTCTAGCAATAATAAATAAAATAAATAATAAAATCTCTAGCAATATAGGAGTGAAAGAAGATCAAGATATATTTATATCACTCAACAGGATAGCTATCAAGACCAGGAATATTTCTGTTTCATATATTTAATATACCTATTACTCCTTAAGTAGAAAAAGGTGTAGCTTGATATTATCTTGATTGCATGTAATCTTTGAAAAAGCTCTGTATCTTTTTACAAAAGACCAATTTCTTCCTTGGTAATCTCACTCAGCACTACATACTGACTTACTATTTTAGAGTAATTATATACCATACTTTTCGGAGTATAAGATGCACTGCCCCCCCCCCCCAAGGAGGGTGGAAATGTTGGTGCATCTTATACACTGAATACAGCCATTTTTGGCCTCCCGAAGCCCCGCCCTGCGTGTCCCATTTTTCTGAAAAACAGGCCCATTTTTTTGCAAAAACAGCACGCAGAGGCTTTGGAAGGCCTGCAGAGTGCTCCTGTAGTCTAGGGAGGGCAAAAACAGTTTTTGCGATAAATGGGCAAAAAATGAGCCTGTTTTTCACAAAAATGGGACGCACAAAGGTTTTGGGAGGCCTGCAGAGTGCTCCTGTGGGCTGGGGAGGGCAAAAACACCCCCATTTTTACAAACAATGGGCAAAAACAAGTTCATTTTTCACAAAAATGGGGTGCGCAGAGGTTTGGGAGGCCTGCAGTGCTCCTGTAGGCTGGGGAGGGCAAAATGCCGTTTTTGTGAAAAGCGGGCAAAAATGAGTCCATTTTTCGCAAAAATGAGGCGCACAGAGGCTTTGGGAGGCCTGCAGAGTGCTCCAGGGGGCCAGGGAGGGCAAAAACTTTTTTTCTTGCTTACCTCTTTGAAATCTTGGTGTGTCTTATATACTGGTGTGTCTTATAGTCCGAAAAATATGGTAGTTTGTTCTAAGCATCATTAATAACAGAATTGTTATTATTTGATTGCTGCTGTTTCAGTCAAGAGGTCAATAATTGATCAGGTCTTTCATCTCATCTTTCATCTCACTCCCCATATGTTTGCTTTTTTACAATTCAGTGAATATGCTGTTATTTACTTCACAAAGGAAATTAAGTTTCAATTTCACAGACATGAGAGGGTCATATAATTCCAGCTAGCAGTATTCAGATATATATGCCATAGGGGAAATGCTTCTGTTTCTTTAGTTTAAATGATCACAGATCAATAAACATTTCTGCAATCTCCAGATTGAAAACTTTCCTTATCAGAATCTAGGGGGAAAAATTAAAATCTCAGGGAAAAAGAAGACATTGTCTTTAATATCCTATTCTATACACAGATCTGAAAAATTCATTCCATTCTGATGATCCTGCTTGCCAACCTAAGTATATATCGTCCTGTATTATAGATATTAAAAATCTCGTAAGATTTGAATTCTGTACTGAATAGCAATGGAAGCATACACAATTAACAGTTTTAATTTGTAGCTTATATTTCAGCTGCACTAAAAAAAAAAATCTCCCATATATGTAAATTTGACTGACCTTGCTCAACTCCTCTCAGACATGTATCTCATCTAAGACTACAAATAATGGAAACTAATATATTTCTTGTAACCAATATAGTTTTAACTGTTTGTAATTTATGAAATACTGCAAAAAAGAGAAAGCCATGTAAAAACCTTTTGAAAACTTGCATTTTTCTTTCCTACTGTTAAGTATTTCCTATTGCCAATTAATAAACTGTAGTACTGTACCACTTTCTTTATGTGTTGCTTTTTAATCTTTTCCTTGCATGCGAAGACATATCCTTGTAAAAGAACAAGTGAATTAGATTCAGTTACTTTTTAGAACCATTACTAATTATTGTATGAAAGTGTCAAGTGTGTACTTCAGAGCTCAGATGTAAGAGCAGGGTTATTTAAAATATTTATAAATGAGTTGGATTAGAGTTTAAAAGTATGACTATCAAATCTTCAGACAATACCACAACAGAAGTGAAATAATAAACACTAGAAGACAGTATCACAACCCAGGAAAATCTTATATGCTAAAACAATGGGTGGAATTAAATAAATTGAAATTTAAAAGGGAAAAATACAAAGTTATACAGTACATTGAAGTAGGGAACATCCAAATCATAAGTATAAGATGGAAAGGGATCAAACTAAGCAGCAATACATGCAGTAAAAATATGGCTTTCTTGATACATCATTAGTTGAACATGAGCTTCCAAAAAGCAAAAGCAATTCTAAGTGCTTCAAGAGAAATATAGAGTTCAAGTCTAGTCATAATTCTTCCCTATTTTGCTTTGAACACATCACATTTAGTTTATTGCATCCAGTTCTGGGCACATTTTAGGAAGGGCATTGATTAATATGCAGAGAGAAAAGAGAATGAGATAAAGGGACTGGAGAGAAACCCAAGGATCAACTGGAGGTATTGGATATGTGGAGCATGAAGAACAGAAGACTGCAGAAACATGAAAACTGTTTTCAAATATCTGAAGGGCTGTCATTTAAAAGATGGGATAGAATTTTTCAGTTTTGTTCCAGGACATAGGACAAAAAACAATGGATTTAAAACACAAGGAAGTGGATTTTATAACAGAAATAAATATGTTGCAGCAGTAAAATACCATTCATAATAGATTTGATAAACCAGTAAAGTATAAACCAAACTATTTTCACAAAAATTGTGAAATTTTTGCTTTATTACTTAATATGTATAAAGTGTACTTGTAATTACTACAAGCAGAACACCTACCAGATTACAAAAACACTCAGATATTAGATTAAAAATGTCTCCTTCCCACAAAAAAATCTCTTCTCCATGAAAGCATATTATAAGACATTACATTGATCAAAACTATAGTTAAATATATTTCTTAACATGTCATTCTTTCCTTTCCAAAAAATGCAACTATTCATTACAATCATTAAAGTGAGACATTATGCATTCCATAATATAGTTTACTTAGGGTTGGATAAACTGAAAAAAAAAAGTAACTTAATATAATTTGTAAACCAAGCAAAGTTCATACACTGCACTGAGTCCTGGGTTACTAAACTATCACTGACTTTGAATACGTTCACACCATTAAGCTAAAATCCATGGTTTTATAAAACATAATGGCTGAATTCAGATAGTGAATTAAATCACAATGTAGTTTCTTCACTTTTGAATTACCATGTTGTGTGAACATTGAGTAAGTGATTGGAGATAAAACCTATCCAGTAGTGGCACCCTGCCTCTACAACTTTTGTTCCAAGGAATTTTGCCTGCCATTCTTTTTCTTTTCTTTTTGGCATGAAGTAACAAATTTGTTATTTAACCAAACCTAACCAAATAGTTTATATTGCAAATCTATTTATTTCTTTTTGGGATTAAGCCATGTAAAATTAAACGGGCTTTACTTGTCTTAAATAGACATTTATAGGGTATGTATATCAACCTACATGTTATTTTATAGTCTTTTTTATATTAGTCTATTGAAATATCTGATTTGCAATTGTGTCTCTTAGACATTGTTCTATTTTCTTTTTTCTATTCTGAAAGCTATTATAAGGTCTTAGGCTGAAAAGCAGCTAAAAAATGGCATGCGTACATAAATGAAAAGGAACTTAGAACAACTAGTGGGAATAAGCAGAGTTCTGATACATGCCACTTGGTCATTTTTATATGACAATGCCTGCCAGGAAGTACAGCTAATATTTATTACTCCATCCATGGTTAGTTAATTATTAGTTAATTCCTGGTTTCTGTGTACCAACCAATTATGCACAGAGGCATCTAAGGTTTTTATCCACACCCGGAGGCAGTAGTAGTTTAAAAAGAGTGATCAAGCATGTTGATCAACATGCTATTTATTAGCAGATATTCCAGTATTAAAAAGCAAAGAAGTAGGTACCATACTTTGATATAAACATACACTCTATCACTCCATATAAAATATTTTTTTTCTGCTTTGGGTATAAATAGAAAGCAGAGCAAACTGCTAAGGCCTGTCTATTTAGGGCTCTGTAAGAACAACAAAAAACTCCAGGTGCTATAAAATCATTTCATTACTATCTAGCACATTTCAGACACAAATCCTTCCTCAAGGGCTAATTTCAAAATTCCTTCTATAAATTCCATATCACTTTCTGTTAGAAGCTGTGCTGTATAAAAAGTTTTGAAGAGAAAGATATATATCGGAATGAAGAAGATGGATTGACTATATTCAAAACAAATATCGGACTAAAAAGCTTCAAATAGTTTATGAATGAAACCAACTATTTCTTTTTGAATTATGTTTTGTTAGTGGAAAGGGGAGTTAAAGAGCAAGAGGGAATTAAGAGCTTACAGAAAATTAGCATATTTTAGTTTATGTTTGTTAAATGTTATACCCTGTATTTGCTCTGGGAAGTCCGGGGTGGGGGGAGGGGGGTTGGAGGAAGAGGGGGGAGGGGGGTTGGGTGGAAGGGGGAGGAGGGATGGGGAGAAAAATAGTTGTAATATTTGATAAAACTTTTTATTAAAAAAGTAAAAATAAAAAGTTTTAAAGAAACAAAAGTTCTTCAGAATGGATTTGTTCACTATCTAAAAATATAATAAACAATTTTATCAAGAGCCTGAAGCATTTTTGTGTCTTTGCTTCTCCCTCATTTTTTTGATTTTATGAAGGGATTAGAGTTAAGCCTATGGTGACCTCATCCCAAACTGAACTTGATTAAGTGTTCTGAACCTGGAATTTCTGGCTCCTTAGAGAAGTTGAAGCAAACATAAAGGAATTTGTACTGTTCACATCAAAAAGTGTTGTAGCACATGTCAGTGATCAGGTCAGACCATATTTATCTATAGACCATACATTTGAGAAAAGACAGACATGTTTGCTTAGCAAATATATAATGTCTATATAAACTGCCCTTATATTTTCATAGAGTGTAAGGACAGTTTATATGGAGAAAATGACTTTAATTTGTATTTTTCTAACAAGTGAATGTAATATTTATTAATATCACTACTTACTAAATATAGTAATATAATATTATATTATAAAAGAAAACAGATTATGGTAGCTTTATTTTAATTTACTGTATTTGTTAAAAGGCATAGGCAAATGACTTTAGGTCATGAGGTGAAAGTTCTGAATAAACAGGAATGTAGCATTGAGATAAACACAATTTCACTACATTTTACTGGCAAGTGCTATTTTAGCACCTAAAAAGTATTATACATTTAATACAAGGGTTATCAATTTCGCTGTACCTCAGTGCCTTCCCCCTTGATAAATATCCGTGTGATGGCATGTGATTAAAACTACATAACTAACAAACAAAACTGCTGCGATTTGTAGTTTTGCATATTCACTCTGGATTTTGCTTGGTGTTTTGCCTCTGTAAACCCACTACAGGAATGTCTAGACAACTCAGCAAGTTTTGATAGTGCTCTCACTTTGCCTATGGAAGTCTGATTAGCTAAAAGAGGGAGGGAGAGAGGGAGGGAGGGAGGGAGGGAGGGAGGGAGAGAGAGAGAGAGAGAGAGAGAGAGAGAGAGAGAGAGAGAGAGAGAGAGAAGACTATCTCTCTCATGTGCTCACAACAGCCCAGGGACTGCAACCAATCTGAGAAATCCTGCATTAGTTTTGAAATTCCAAATTAGATTATAATGTACTTGCAAATCTGTTAAGGTCAGAAACAAACAATCTGAGAAAACACTGATCTGTTACTATAACAGTACTAACGTAGTTACAAATTAAAATTGAGAAATTTAAAAATTTAAAACAAACTTAGATTTGTATTTGTAGCTAGAATACAAAGCTAGAGTATCGTAAAAATTGGAAAAATACTTACTTTCTCACGTTCTTTGTACATCAGTGGCACATTTTTTACAGTTTGACAATTGGCATCTATATTAAATATCTGCTTTTGCATTGTGGCTGTAAGAGATTCTGGATATATTTGCAGGTTTTCACACTGTTTGAACTGCAAAACACAAACAAAATAATCTATACAATTCAATACTTAAAAAATGAACACAAGATTCTATAGTCTGTATTTTATTGTTTGTATTACAGCAACACCTAGAGGCCCTATAATGAAGCAAAATCTCATTCTATTTTCACTTTATAAAAACATAACATAAATAATTTCTATTTTCCAAGTTACATGATATATAAAAATGTTAATATATTTTACACATACACAAAATAAAAAGTATTATGTACATAAAGGACTAAACAGACATACCATAATTGAAACACACTGCATGCCAAATGGGCAACCTCCCTCTCAGTTTTCATGGGAAAATCTGTTTTTAAAAAAGCACTTAAGGCTTGAAGGGAATCTAAACCTCTGAGGGAATACTAATCCAAAAAGGAGGTGCTGTCACAGAGATGGTGCACTTCTTAGGTCCCTTCAAATGACATTATTTAAGGGATAGGATATGAAGCACACCTTCTCTGTCAGATCTTACAGGACAGAAACAGGAGAGACAATTCCTTCAGATAGCCAGACCTTATGCACAAAGGCTTTATTTCAATTATACATGCCAGTTCAGCAGCCTCATTCATGAGTTAGTTACAGAAGAGGGAAGACTTTATTTATTTATTTTGTCAAGCATGTATTAGATAACAGATATAAGTATAAACATAACTATAAATACATGAAATGGATATGAATAAAAGGATACATTAGGACAGGGACAGTAGGCACTGCTTATGCACGCCCCTTAAAGATCTCTTAGGAATGGGGTGAGATCGACAGTAGGCAGTCTAAGGGTAAAGTTTTGGGGGTTTAGGGAAGAAACCACAGAGTCAGTTAGTGCATTCCAGGCATTAACAATTCTGTTACTGAAGTCATATTTTCTGCAATCAAGTTTGGCACAGTTTACCATAAGTTTGTATCTATTATGTGCTCGTGTATTGTTGTGGTTGAAGCTGACAGGTAGGACATTGTAGCAGATAATTTTATGTACTACGCTTAGGTCGGACCGAAGATGGCAAAGTTCTAAATTGTCTAAGCCCAAAATTTCAAGTCTGGTGGCATAAGGTATTCTGTTGCGAGCAGAGGAGTGGAGAACTCTTCTCGTGAAATATCTCTGAACTTGTTCGATTGTATTAATGTCTGATATGCAGTGCGTTATAAACCATTTTTATACTTTTTTAATACTTGTTATGTTTTTATACTTTTTTTATATTTGTTATTTTATTTATTTATTTATTTATCATTCATATTTCTATGCCGCCCACTCTCCGAGAACTCTGGGCGGCTTACACCAAAGACAGTATACTAAATAGCATATTGGCCCAGAACAATCTGGGTCCCCATTTTACCCACCTCGAAAGGATGGAAGATTTGAGATTTGATCCGCTGATCTGCTGAACTGGCAGTCAGCTGAAGTAGCTGCAGTACTGCACCCTAACCACTGCGCCACCTCGGCTCTATAAATGGTTATACACCATTCTGTTTAATTGCTAGAGTTCAGAGCAACTGAGGATCTAGTTACCTAGCAATGGAACTGAACAGTGGAAGCTGGAAGGCATAACTGGCATCAAATATTGACTCAGACATTAATATGTGCAAAACTGGTAGAAACATAGTAGGTAATAACCGTTAATTTATAAGAAATGAATGAAAGTCGAAAGAAAAAAAATGGCTTTGTGTGCATCTAGCCACTTTGTTGGAATATTATCCAGAAGTTGAATGTGTCAGAAGAAACATAAAAAATATGTGTCAGAAAAAACATAAAAATATAGTGGGAATATGGCAATTAAGTGTGCAGGATAAAACAAGAAGAGGCTTGAGAATGAATGGGTGCTGAATGAATGTGGGTTAAATACAAAATGATTGACTAGTATAAAAGAAGTACATTAAAGAGAGAATGAGGATTGCAAAAAAAAAAAATGAACAAAGAGAATGAAATGGAATGGAAAATTCATAAAGATGTAGATAGGCAGATTTGATGAGATTCTCAAAGAGAACTTTGAGAACAGCAAAGAACAAAAAACAATGTATAAATGTTGTGTGAATTCAGCCAATTTTACTCAATGAACAAGTTATCCCTTAGTGCAGTACCTAACCAGTTAAGTATTATCATAGGAATAAAAAAAGACAATTAAGAATAAAAGGCAAGCATGTTTGACAAGGAGGGTTGCTATTAAGGCCAAATGAAAAATGAAAAGGAAACATAATAAAGTATATCTCCAGCATGATTGCATTGTACATATTTTCAACAAGAGCTTTCATAAGTAAGTTTTACTTTGCATGATGTAGAACAATAGCTTTCTACATTCAATATGAAACAAATATTCTATATTCACACTGTCTATTCCTTATTAAAGCACAAAAGCAATTTGGCATTTCATAACAATAACAGTTACTGCTTCTGCTGTATCATATACTCCCATTAGAGACCAAGGTAATGAGCCATTCTCTTGCCAAAAGGGGAAAAAAGAGTGGAACAGGGTGGGGGAAAAGCAAATTAAGTTAGATTGCATGAAGAAGGGAAAAAACAAATTGGAGGGTGGAAAAGGATGGAGGGAAATGCTAAATTGTATACAAAGAAAAGCATTACTATTATATACAATGCTTCTATATCACAATTATACTTTCTTCAAATAAAAATGAAGAATTGGTTAAGAAACCATTTTTGGAGAGGGATGCTGTTAACTGGTAATATTTTGCACAGACATCAATAATACTAGGGCAGATAAATATTTGTGTATTCTTATGTTAGACTGCATATATTATACTCAATATATTTCAAATTATTCCTTATTCTTCTGCCTCCTTTCCTCCAAGCAGTCAGAGCAATATTTACTACAGATTGCTCTTCTTCTCTTACAAATCTGGTGTGACAAAACTAGGATGAACAAAAGGGTCACTTCCTTCAAGATATAACTTTTTACACCGCACAAGCTCTTAGTCACACTCAAGGGGAGAGGACAAAATTATTTCCATATTAATTTTAATCTTTTAATCTATTCAACCCAGGCATGTGTTGTGCAAATTATAATTCTGTTTTATAAGGTTTGAAATGATTTTCCTTAAAACACGCAAAGAGACACAGGGCAATACTTCGCTAAGAGAGAATGTTTTTAGTGCTTTCGTTCTCTGTATTTACACCACTGAGGCCGGGATTAAAAAGAAACGAAGGGCGAAACACAAGCATCTTTCCTTGGACGAAGCAACATTTGGTACCCTAGATCAGGGGCTATTACGCTGTTTTGGGGTTTTTTTCGCGGACCGTCTCTCATTCAGGCTGGGGCTCTTCCTTGCCCCCACGTGCCAAATCGACCAAGTGAGGCGGACTCTGGCCTGACCGTTGCCACTTTCCTTACCCAGATACCGTCCCGGGTGGTGCTTGGATTGGCCCGCCTCCCTTTCGGCATGGTGAGGAAGCTGAGGCTGAGCGGTCCGATAAGGACTCCTCGCGCGTGGGGGTTAATTTCGCCTGGGAGCCAGAAGGAAGGCTCGCCTCCTCCGAGGAGGAGGAGAAAGAAAAAGAAGAGCAAAAGGTGCAGGAGGCAGTTTTGGTTGCCACGGCTACCGTTGTCAAGTTCCTTGATTCTGCGTCACGCTGAGGGACTCCCCCTCCCTTTCCTTCTGTTGCGTCCAGCGGTCCGAATGGCTTTCCCGACCGTTGAAGAAAAGGCGGGAAATCGCTTCTGCGTCTCTTTACTTTTCTGCTTGAGGTAGTTTCTGTCTTTTAAAGAGCTTCCAACGGACATATAGGGAGTTCAAGTTGATGCAGAGAAATCGTCAAGCCAAGAATTAAAGGTGGAGGAATTGTTTTGAGGCGGGCATGAATAGACTCCAGGGAAAATATTCTCCTTCGTTAGTATGGAGCGATGTCAACTCCATCTCTCCGCAAGAGAAATAGTCAGGTCTCTGAATGTGACTTCTCAGGCAAACATATTATGTGATAATTGAATTGCACGATTTAATTTATTGGTGAAACTGATCTAATTGCTGCATCACATGTTCCTGTCACAAGTTTTAATCCAATCCTAAATAATAATAAGCCACGGAGTCACCGAGAGAGTTGGACGGCTATATACATTTTCTTAATAAACGAATACAATAAACAGCATAAGCTATAAAATGTTTTTTAGAAGTTGCTGACACTGAAAATACATGGTTAAGTGATACTTTCGTACAGTGACCATTTAGGAGAAAGCTGATTAGGATTTCTATCCCAAAGGAATGAGTGGAAGTAAAAAGGCGGGAAGGGTTAGGGCAGGGGTGGGCAACTGTGGCCCTTTTAGAACCTGTGGACTTCAACTCCCAGAATTCCTGAGTCCACAGATTGTAAAAGGGCCACAGTTGCCCACCCCTGAGTTAGGGTATTAAAGTATAAAGCAGGCAAGAGATGAATGGATGATTCCTGTTCTTGGTTGCTGTTTTGAATTATCTTTCCCTATCTCTCCCTCTCTATTCTTTTTTTTTTCTCTTTTTGTAGGCAGGTGATATGATTAGAAGTTCGACAGGAAAGAAAATAAAAGTTTTTTTTAATATAGGGTGATATGATTAAAACCCAGAGTAAGAGATAGAAATAAAGGGAATATTAATATATTATATTTTTATTCGATAAAATGAAAGTAATAATGAAATAGGTGGAATAATTGAATAATGATAGACTAACCTAATATAGATGTGTATTGTCATGGGAATTTCATAAGTTGATTGAATGTAATAATAATGTTTAATCTGATCAGTTTTGTTTGTATTGGAATGTATGGTGCCCAGGTGCTGTTCACGCATTGATTTGACATTTTTATAAAAAATAAAAAAAATAAAAAACTTGAGAAAAGAAAAAAATAAAAAGGTGGGAAGGGATGACCAATGTTCATATGCTCATTTATCAGCTCAAATACAGCTAGACTTCAATTTACAACAGTCCATTTAGTGACCAGTTACAACAGCACTGAAAAAGTTACTTATGACCATTTTTCACACTTACGACCATTGTAGCATCCCCATAGTCACGTGATCAAAATTCAGATGCTTGGCAACTACTCATATTTAGTGTTGCAGTGTCCCAAGGTCATGTGATCACCTTTTTGAAACTGACAAGTAAAGTCAATGGGGAAGCCAGATTCACTTCACAACTGTTATTTAACAACTGCCCTGATACACTTAACTCTGGCAAGAAAAGTCATAAAATTCACTTAACAAATGTCTTGCTTAGCAACAGAAATTTTGTGCTCAATTATGGTTGTAAGTCAAGGACTACCTGCAATTGTATGTATGTACTCTAGATATTGGAAAACATTTATATCAAATGTGGGTTCTATTAGCATTTAGTTCTGTAGCAATCTTTTATAGATCAGATATGGTCCATGTTAAATAAGCGAACTGGCAAATCTTTTGTACTTCACTTCCTATTTCAAAGCTTTTGACCTCATCTAGATATCGATTTGTTCCACAAACCCAATGTCGTACTTAAAATCAACTTCATAATTTTAGTGTATTTTTCAATGTATAAAACATAATAACTTATAAAATAACTCTATTTAGAAAAATACATTGTCCTAGATCGCTTTAGAATTCCCTGCTGTGATTTATTCTTGCCCAATTACTTCATATTCCTACTGGAGGCAATGAGACATTCTGTGACTAAGGCAAGATAATATTTTTTACTTTTACAAAGAGAAAACACCAAGTTAAAGAAGTCCCTAGAAAATTGGCAGTCAGATGCTCTAAACCTTTTTGGTTGAAATCTTAAGAACATTTAATAGGCTCTCACAATATAGTTGCCATGGAAAAGCTTTTTCAAAATGTCTGTCATAGTGGTTATGAACACTACAAAGAGAAAATATACTACCAAAACTTCATTCTTACATTTTTTTATTTATGCTTTAATTTGCTTTTAGTATTTTTCTCTTTTGTATCAATAGTCCTTGTTTTTATCAGCTTGAAAATGTGAACTAATTACATGTATTCTTAAAAAAAAATCAACAGTAAAAACAAAATCAATAATCTATGAAGTAGATTATGGCCATCACAAACATTATGTCAGCCCTGGAGGCCATATTTTCTTTTGGATCTTCAGGGCTGCCACACTTAGTGCTGTGGGAAACTGGGGGGGGGGGGGTTTGCATGGAGTTGGTAGAGGTATTTAGCCATAACTTTCTTTTCTCTGAGAGTCAAGGACGTTCAGCTTGCACCTGGAGTGGCATGACTGGGAGGCATCTCCGGATGGGATGGTGGATTGATTGGACCATGAGATGGATATGTGAATGCAGGGGAGGGGACTTTGACTTTCGTTTGGGTGGGGAAAACCTGGAAGCTTTCAGATTCGGGTTTTCCCAGATGTGCCAATATGACATCTCTAATAAAATGGAACTTTGAGGACCTGCCTGCCTCGGAGTTTTCTTTGGTTGGGGACATTACTTGGAACCCTGGCACATTAATTTATAGTTACAATGACCATATACCCTTTATTATAAAGGACAATTCAATGTTTCAGAAATCTGTTCATTAGACTGATTTTTTCAAAATCTCACTTTTGTTCTTTCACATTCATGTGAAAAATATGGAATTGAATTTCAGATATTTTGATTAGCATGTCTTTTTGTAGTTTTTGTTTTGCTCCTGAATTTTCCTTTGTAGGCCAAAATTATAAATAATTAACAGTTTAATCCTAATGAACCTTTTTCAGATCTGCTCCTTTTTCACTTTTGTCCTTTTATGTTTACCATTTTTACAATAGGCTTTCTGCTGTAACTGCCTATCATGCTCCTGAATAAATTTCACCTCTACTTCAAGCAATAGTCCTATATTCTCTGGAAAACCAGGCTTGGATCAAACCAATAATTTCTTTATTTATTAAATTTATATGCCTCTCATCGCACTGTCAAGCAACTCTGGGTGGCTTCCAAACATAAAAACAAAGATACAAAACATTAAATAGTAAAATTAACAAAGATTAAATAAAGTAAAAAACCAGAATACAACGGGATAGTGATGAGATCCCCATTGGGGCCTCAGGCCAATTGGCAAAGCCAGGTTTTGAGGCTGTTAAGGAAGATCAAGAGGAAGGGGGGGTGGCTCTCACCTTGAGAGACATAATATTCTGGAGGATGGAAGCCACAGCAGAAAAGGGCCTTCTCTTGGATCCTACAAACCAGATCCTTTTGGATTAATAAGGTTTGTAGCATGCCCCTTCTGCCAGAATGAACAAGGCAAGCCAGTTCCACAGGGGAAAGACCGTTCCTTAGGTAGCTTGACCCATGCCATAAAGTTTTGCATTCCCTTTAAAAAGCACGTCTGCAGTGGGACAATTCTGCATCTTCCATTACCACTGGATTTCCCTTTAGGACTAGTTTTAATACTATGTAATAGTATCTGTGGCAAGGACTGTGAGGAATTGCTTCTAATATAACCAGAGTTTTCAGGTAAACAAAAAAGAAAGATAAAAGCTGAATTAAAAATTCAAAATAATCACACAGCAATAGAATACTACTAGGTATGTTATAATTTGCAGCTACACATATCCATTCACAAGATACTATTCCCTTTTGCAGTAAAGACTCATTTAGAGCATAAAGAAGTAAAAAAAATTGAGCTACAGGAATTATGGGATCAAGATAAGCAAAATAAAAAGAAACATAGTTAAACTGAGCACCATTATCTCAGCACCATTAACAATATTACCTCATATATAATTTTATATTCCTGCAAATGAGCCTTGGTTCCACCACAGCTATAACACTGCTGCATAATTTTCTTTTCTCTTTACAATTTTAACTCCTGTCATGTGAGGATCTCATCAACTTGTCAGGAATTCCTTGGTCTTTTTTATTAATTTACTCTTCCTTCATATATATTTCTCTGCAGATCAAACTTCATTCATTTGCTATACATGACCAAATTTTATAAATATATTGCTTATATTTCCTCATTGTCATTCATTTTTGTATTCAAAATCCATATTCATTCAATACCCATATATTCTTAATCTATCTGTTCTTGTTCTACCACGCACACATTTTAATAGCTCTATTGCAATAATTTTCTCTTTAAGATGCAACTACCTTGGTCTTTGATACATTAATTATGAGATTTATTCATTGAGATATTTATTTATTTATTCATTGAGATATATATCTATATGCTGTATCCACCAATACAATTTTAATTGTCTACTTCTTTATGCAATACAGAAGTATTGAAGGTGTATAGAGCCATACACCTCTAATATCACAAACATTCCTAATGTGTTTATAAATTAGTTAACCAAGAGGAAATCATATAGCATTGTCTTTCTTCCTGTTCAGTGCTAAACCATTCACTCACTATGCATTCTATTTATTTCAAATGTAGCTTATTTCCATAATATATGCCTTTATCTATTCAGCAAATAGCTCCATATTTCATGTAAAACATTTCATGTAATATCTATTCACTTTACTGTAATTTGCAGATTGCTACCTGGCAAAAATGCTATACTGTGCTCCCATATTGTACTCATTTTCATTCAATCAAAATTTTGCCAAACTACCTTCCCATGGACACTGGAGAAAAGGATTTCCCTGAAGTTTATATACTCACTCTTTCTTCCTT